TACAAATGGTTTAATAAAGTACTACCGTGACTGCTTAAGGGAAAAAAAAAAAAAAAAAAAAAAAAAAAAATATTTGTATTGAAGATGATCTAGTGATATAGTAGAAATTGCAGTACAGAGAGTTTAAATAAGCAATGTCTTTAGTTAGGTTGCAGGTATAATAGCTAGTATAAAACCATTGGCAGATTACTTAAATTAAACACTAAAAATGTATATGTAGCTAGTTGTATTTTCCAATATAAGATGACTTTTTTAAGACTTTGGCCACAAGTCCCTATGTTTTAATTTACTAAATAAAGCTCTAGTCAAGAAAGAGACTAATTTAATTCAAAAAAAAAATCTATCTTAATAAATTTTAATTCGAATTTAATAATTCTACTATTATTAGAATTATAAAAGTTTACTTTATAATTTTGCTTAAAAGTTTAAAAACAGTTAAGTTAGTGAAAATAGATTAAATATCAAAATAAAAAAATTTATAATTAAAGTTCTATGCTAAATAATCTACATATACTCTATTCTTAATAGCTTGTAATTATTTGAATTTTGATTAAAAAATTAGGTTGTTTATTATTTCTACTAATAACTACCTATTATAGCAAGTTAGAGATTTAAAATTAGACAAAAAAGATACTAAATAAATTACATTTAAACTTATTAAGTTGAATAGATTTTTATTTAATTAAATTTTATATATTTACACTGATATAAGTTATTGTATAAAACAGAATCTTAGAAATATAAAGACTTAGTAAAGTAAATAGGTCTAAGATTCAATTCTTACAAACTATGAATTTTAAAAATTATATCTGTTTTATAATAACTGTTTCTTGTCAATCAGTTGAATTTATGCATCTGTAATTATAACTACATTAGATTGAGACCTATTTGAATTTGAGAGCTTAAGACATCTATACAATGTGTAATATTATATATATATAGAGAAATATGAAAAACCAGTATTATATAAAACTTTAATGCAAATCTGTAATAAGACCACCAAGTATAAAAGACTAAGAAACTAAAAAAATCAAATCTTACTTGAAAATTCTGAACAATAAACTTTTAATAATATTGTTAGACTGATAAAAACCCATAAAACACCTTCATAAAAATTATTATATAAACTAGATAACAAGATATGTAAAGGAACATATAACCAAATAGACTATCAAAATCATTAGAAAAAAAAAATATATAAGTATATCATATTGAATTATCTGAATTGAAAGTCTGAAAAATTCATTAGTTCTGAGTTACAATTAATAAAGAATGATGAAAAAAACATCAGAAAGATAGGTATTAAGATTTGAATAAACTATAAGAATAAAAATAGAGTAATGAATAATCCTAACTACAAGTATTAATCTTAGTTATAATATAACCTAGGTTAATGATTAAAAGAAATACAACTCACTTTAAAAGATTTATCTTAAGAATTAAATAATCCAAGAATTATAATCCTAAGGTTAAGATAAAAGAATCTGGGTCTATGACCCAGTGAAGTTAATAACAAGATCAGATCAGAGAGTTTAAATGAAACACCTAAGCAGAAGTGTTAGGTACAGCAACTGATAAGAAACCTTCAAGTGAACTCCTTAAATAGGTAATATAGAAAAGTTACACATGTAACCAGTTGTACACTCATCTGTATAGTTTAATATAAACATATGTCTATATAAACATGTGTCTGACATAAGTATTAATAAAAAGTCAAAAGACCAAAAAAGTTACCTTAATACTGAAAAAATAAAATAAAACAGAACCTCTAAAGAAAAAAAAATTTAACCAATATCTAATAATATATTGGTTAGTATCCATATCAATAACAGATTTATCAGTGTAGAAAGTAAACTGGTATTGTAATTGGTTAAAAGATAAAAGTAATAGAAATTTGGTTAATATTTCTTGCAAATAAATATTTCCAAAATTATAAAATTAATAATAGAGGATGATAATGAAATAATTCAGTAATTGGTAAAAAATAAAAACTATAATCGTAGTTGATTATATAATATTAGATTTCTTAAATTATATACATAAGAATTGTACATAATAATAATATTGGTTTAAGCGAAATCATTCTTTATATGTAATAATATATAGTACCATTATAATAAAAAAATCCACTTTTTTTTTTAAATTTTATAGCTTTAAATTTTTCTTTTCTATAAACATGCTCTTTCCCTGCCCGTATAACAAATAATAAACTGGATCTTCATACGAGAACATTTTCAATAAACAAAATGATTGTAATCATTACAAGCCGGTGTATAAAGTTATTGAAAATTCAAAAAGATTTTTTTAAAAAAATAAATGTTTGCACATTATATCACTAAAATTTAACAATTATTGTCTACTCGCGCTAATAAATTGCATTTAAAACAAGAAATTGTTTAGCGAAAAAGTATTACATATTAGAATTAAATTTTTAAAAATGAAAAGAATGCATGTAGTTTTGTGTCATGATCCTGCATGTTGATCCTTATTCTTTATTGAATACTAAGTCAGATACATCACAAAGATAAAACCAATGTTAGTCGCTTAATTTCGTAGAAACACAATAAAAGATGAAAATTTTCACCAAATGAATAGACATAAGTTATCCTTCAATAAATCCAACGCCAATAAGGGAATCTCGACCGTCCGAAGCAACGGCAAAACTCACATCCTTCAACATTCTTTTATTCTTTTGGTCATTAAAATACGCTTGGATTATTTTTGCATGTGAGTCAGTATCGCCTTCGCAGTGAAACATTAAATGTATAATAGGTGCATCCCAATTTTCCAATAAAGTTGCCATTGAAGTAGCTGATATCATCCAATCAATCGAGAATTGACGTAAATTTGCCATCGCATCCAGTTCTTTAAATGGTGGTAGAATTCCATCGCCATTAAACGATGAAGCACCACCTCGAATCGTAAGTTTATGAAGACGTAAAGGCCGCTTTAACAGGGATACTAAGTCATCCACGCTATCAAAATCACCGCCAACTGTAACATCCACAAGATTGGGGCAATATTCTCCAACGACGCCGAGGGTTGTCGAATATTTTTTAAAATTTACTTCTAAACGTATTTCTTGCAAATTCTGACCATTATTTTTAATTATTGAATTAAAGTCTTCAATCGATAAACCTTCATTACATCGGTCTGCTAGGTATGACCATTTCGTAAGCTTTATACCAAAATTTTTGAGTTTTGGAAATCTTGAGTGTGCTAATGGTTTAAACGCTTCCTTGCCTCTACATCTTAATCTTATTAATTTTAAAGTTTCTAAATTTTTGCAACGTGTCAAGGATTCCATAGATTTCATGTCGATGTCAATGTCATCGATTTCGATATTTATTAACGAATGAGCCTGGGTTTCCAATGCAGAAAAAATTGGCGTGGTCTTTAACGGAGAATAGCGGAAGTAGAAATTTTGAAGATTACGTTGGTTTTTAATAAGTGCAGCTAATTCATTCGTTGTAGATTGAGATTCTTCAGCTCTATAAGTAATATCATCAATTTCAAGTGTGACAATATCATGACAAATCGAAGATAATTTCAATAATGGCTTTCCAATCCAATATGATGCTACAACTATAAGTTTTCGAAGATGTCGTAAACAATAGATAGCACCTGGATATTTCGGAATATCGTCTAAAATTTTTACTGCAATCCATGCAAACAATTGTGTTTCATTAGCATTTGCACCTACGGCACGAAGTTTTCCAGAACGTTTAAAAAAAAGGTTTTGAATCTTGTGAGAACGATACATTAGGAGTTTACATATTTCTGTCACTAAATGATAAATCACAACATCCATAGAGTTCGAGACAATTGGATCATCTTCATTTTCTGAATCAAAAGCGGTTACTTGTAAGGTTTCAAGAGAATAAGGTGATCTATACACAGGATTAATCACAGATTTTTGTCTCTTTTCATGCTTCGACCACATATAAACTGCCAGGTATAGAGTCTCAAAATTTAGTTCTTCCAACATAGAAGGATAATCAAAAGTAGCTTGCGTTATTACTGATGGTGTTATTTCATTTGGAATCAGTATAGATCGTGTTTCGGGACTCAAGAAAGATAGATATACTGGGATAATTTTATATAAATTTTCGCTAATGAATACGGAAGAAAACGGTGCGCTCCATAAATAAGGCACACTATTTTTGCACCAATCTCTATTCACCAATGTTGTTGAACTAAGAGTACTCAGTTCGTTAGGGCTAACATGCGCAAAAATATGACCCAAAACTTCTGGAGGTAATCGTCTTGTTATTGGAGGATCATAACTTGATGATGATGCCATTTTTTACACTTAACAATTTTTTTATTTTGAATTCTGAAAGTAATGTCAAAGCGGTTTGTTTGAAGCCGTAAATAGCCTTTTTGAAATTGTTAATGTTACACATCTAATTGTTTACGACATCGGTGCACAACAAATATAAAAAATAATCCTTGCTTTTACTAAATTAAGCCTTACATCTCTTAACTACGTATTGGTACGTATACAGTAGTTATATATCCCTAACCTGTTGAGCCAATTCAAATTTTCATGAATTCAGATATTCTCCGCCTAAAACTGGACAAACTCCGAAATTATTGCTTTCACGGAATAACGAACGCCAACGAAAAGCACAATCTTTAAACGTGGCAACTTTACCGAGATTAGTGACACAAATCGGCAAAATTTTTCTGCAGTTGGTTCAACTTTCGTGAATTACGATTAGTTGTCACATGTTTTTAATTAAGTCTATTGGTTAACTCTAATCACATGATCTATTGGTACTAATTTAATTGGTCGCGAAAATTTTTTCTGAAGTTTATTAACGTTAAGTAGATAATCATTCAACGATTAGTTGCTTCGAAAATTTTAAATCGATTAGTTGCCAACTTGGTCAACTCTTCGATAAATCGATTTTCGATCCATATTATTAACCGGGACTAATAAATTTTGTTCCAAGTTCTCCTCCTCATTCACCGAATTCATCAAGAGAATCACGACCATGTCTACGTTTGTTCATCCTCAAGAAAGACTAGATTCAGAGCAAACGACTAACTCCGAAACGACTAACTCCGCAATATTGGCTCCGGAAGCCTCTTACTCTAATAACACTATGACATTTTCGTTGCCACCTGCCACAAATTTAGAGGTTGACGTCGCCTCGGTGAATTCTTTCAGAACAATCGATACAAATCAAACCGGTGATCAAGAAAGTTTGTCTTCAGATTTCACGGACCGTACGAACGAACCACAGGGTTTGATTAAATTGCTTTGCGAAATTGATGTACGAACATTTAGATGATTTTTAATGTTTTATCATATGCTGATTCATGACAGCTTAACTTGTATGATCTGTCCCAATTATATTATTAGGGCGGTCTTGGTGTCGCTCTCGAACGAGTTAAACAATGCTCATCATCGGCCAAAGCATGTATACTTCTATTTCTTTATTTAGTTTTTTTTCATTTATTTTCTAGTAGTAATTTGAACTTATATTAATTTTTCATTTTTAGGAAGCAGCAACCTTTTTAAAAAAAAGGGCAGCAATTGAAGATGAATATGGCAGAATGATGATTAAGCTGGCCAAAAGTATGCAAGAAGGTCACCATACTAATGATACGAAACAAGGGTTTGTATTATATATATACGTCATATAGAATAATTTGTTGAATTTTTGTAGTGTAAATTTCTTACATTTGAGTAAAAACAGCTCATATGGTGAAAATTGGCTTTACATGCTGAAGCTACATGAATCCATCGGCGAAAATAGAGTTAAATTTGCAGCAGCAATTCAAGAGATATCTGAAGAAATAACAGCACTTTATAAAGATACAGATAAAAGCCGTAAGAATGTATGTTTGCACAAAGCGGACTTTATTTTTCCTTAATTTTAATGTGGAACAATAAATTTTATGATTAGCTTAAAGATTCGGGCCAAAAACATGAAAAAACAATTCAGGACGCAGAACAAGCATTGGAAAAGGTTTGTTTCACATATTAGTTGTGTAAGTCTTTAATATTATGATGGAATGCCTGATACAAATATTTAATGAACTTAGGCTAAAACAAAATATGAGACACACAGTGAAGATTGGGAGCGCACAATTTTACAAAAAAATGGCGATGTATCTAATATAAAACCAAGAACCTTAACAAAAGCTATTTTTTCTAAGCAGCCAAAGACTCCCACACAGGTATAATTTTAAATAATAATAGTTTAATTTATTACCTTTATGAATTTTTATAGACATGCGTGCGTGTCATTTTTCCAGCTGCTAAAGATGGAAGAAGACGCAAGGAACAAAGCGGCAACTGCCAATGATACATATAAACATCATTTATCTATCACAAATACGGCACGGCACGAATATTATGATATACATTTGCCTCGTATGATTATGGTAATAACTGTGTCCTATAATAATAATCCATTTTTAATTATTTTCATTAATAATATAGTTAGCTTGATTTTATTTAAGGCTCTCAAAGACATTTCTGACGAATGTGATATAGGTATACAATATCATCTGGCTCGATACACCTACCTTTTTGAAAATACTATGGTAAGCGACGCATTGGTTATAAGTCCCGTCAATACCGAAGATGGTAATTACTGCGTATAATTATTCTGAGTTATTCTGTGATAAGATTAACATAGCTTTAAAGAATTTCCTAATTGCATTGCCTTTTTCGTAGGACCTTCTATGCGAAAAATTGTTGAACAGATCAATAATGAAGAAGACTATTACTCATACGTGCAATCATGTAATGTAAAGGCGAAAAAAGTGAAAAAAAACTATGATATTCCATACGATCAATATAACATGGTAAGTTAATAATAAATTCGTATTTAGTCAGTATTTATATATATCCATTCTTTATTTTATTAGTTTATTTTTTTACTTTTTATTTTTATTTTTTTCATTTTTCACTATTTATTTTATTTATTTATTTTATTTTTATTTATTTATTTATTTTATTTTTATTTATTTATTTATTTATTTATTTTTGTCTTTGTTAAGTCTGAGCAAGCAATTAACATAATAAATCCAAAAAATATTTTTGGAGTTGATTTGGCTGAACAAATGCGAAGAGATAATCATGAAATTCCGTTAATTTTAACTAAGTGTGCAGAAGCAATTGAAAAAAATGGTGGTAAGGCTGTCAAAAAGAATTAAAGGTTTTGTTAATAAATTCCAATATATAGATTTCAAGCTAAATACGACTTCGATAGGCCTTGAAAGTCAAGGGATTTATCGTGTTTCAGGTGTCCAATCACATATTCAAAAGCTACGAACATTGTTTGACAGAAGTACGTATTTTAAAATTATTCACAAATTTTGCGGTATCAGAAAACAATATGCTTATTAGTAAAATTTTTTTATTAGATGCGGAAGCTGTTGACTTGAGTGCGGAGGAGTGTTTTTCAGACGTCAATAATCTCACCAGTGTCTTAAAATTATGGTTTCGAGAGTTACCAGATCCACTTTTTATAAAAGAAATGTACCAAGATTTTATCAATGCTGCAAGTAAGTTAATTTGATATTATTGATTGGGTTTTAATGTGTAATTAGTCTGAATTCTTAATGATTATTTTTGAAGAAACCCCTGATGAAAGAAAACGTGTTCTTGAGCTACACGAACGTGTCAATAATCTTCCAGACCCAAATTATAGCACTCTGAAATATTTAATGGGGCATTTGCATAAGTATTTATTTGTCTATTTTCCTAATAATATATATTTACCATTTTAAAAATAAATTTTAACTGAAATGTTTCACTGTAGAATTGTTCAGAATCAGGAGAAAAATAAAATGAACGTACAAAACCTTGGAATTGTGTTTGGGCCAACATTGATGGGCAGTCCTGTCGTTACTGCAATTTCAAACCCCGTATCATCAGGTTTATCATTACAAAATCCAAATACGACAGTTTCATCACCTTTATCACATGTTTCAGATAGCGGGGGACTTAACGATATGGGTTGGCAGTGTAAAGTTGTAGAAACTATATTGGAAAATTATATTGCTATCTTTGTGTGAGTAGTAATCGTGAGTAGGTTACAGCCTAGTAATAATTCCAATTTATTAAATTACGGAATTTTTTTAATATAGGGAGTAGAGTTTTGAAGAATAATCGACACTCTCTTTAAAGAAAAATAGGTCGGTAGATATATGGATCTAGGAATGATTACAAGTAGTTATGATTTATAACCTGGTTTTTTTCTGTTTCAGGCAAAAATTAGTTATTGTATTATTCTTGATTTTTTTTTTTTTGTTTATATATTTTTGTATTTATTTATCAATTTTGAATTAAGTATATAATTTTTTTTTCCTAGGCTAAACAGAATAATTAATAATTTGAATTTGAGATTCAAATTTTGGTTTTTTTTTTTCTTTTTTCTTTTCTTTTTTTCTTTTGTAAA